AACCGAAAAGCATGAGCGGGAGGCAAAAATGATGTTAGGCACTTGTATTAAGATTTATAAGCAATGTCATGAATTGTTATAACATCATCTCATTATAGTATGTTATCAGTTACATTGAAAGCAATTATTGGAACGCAATTTAAACGGTAGTGTATAAAACATTTTCAAGAAATTAATATAATATTCTTCCTCTTATAATATTCAACAAAATAGAAAGGAAGAAAACAAGAGCTTTTCTCAAAAGAGAAGCAAAGCAGAGTCTCTCTCTAGAATCTCTTTCTAGAGGCAATCTCTTTGAATTGCTTTATTGGTGTTTGGTTCAAAGGAAATGAGAGGAGTAAAGGAACGAGATGGAACAAAGAAAGAGAGAGTCATTAAAAATAAAACTAACTTTTATTCAAAAAAATTATATTTTTAAAAATGTAATATATTTATTCCATCATCAAGCCGAGCAAGTTTCATTTGCCAATTCAACCAAACAAGATAGAAAGAAGTACCTAGGTCCTCCTATTACATTTTGCTTGGCTTTCACGTCATCATTGCACAATAACCCTTCACTTGTTCTAACATAAATTAATAAAATAGGCATACTTCATGTATGAATAAATCTTATAGAAAATAAAATCCATTTCATTTTGCCTCTCTTTCTTTGTTTTTTTTTTCCTATAAACAAAAAATTTTAGTGATTTGGATCTATGAGGCTTATTAAGGTCAAGTACCTCCAAACTCAAAAAATGCTTATAAAAGTACTTATAAGTTAAGGTTAAGATGTATCCAACACCTTGAAATATTTTTTAGGTATGTTCAACACTCTAAAATATTTTGTGATTCATCCAGTATCTTGAACTATTTTTCTAAATTCATCTAGTACACTAAATTGACTAAAGTAATTTTTTTTTTAGGTGCATCCAATACTCTAAAAACTACTAAAAAAATATTTTAAGGTATTTGATGCATATTTGTTTAGTAGACTTTTTGAGGAATTAATGGCAAAAGTTAAAATTGCTCCTAAAAAATAAGGATACAATTGCTCCTGGAAAAAATTAATATTTTAAGAGCAAAATCATACCATAAGATGTTTTAGAGAGCGAAACTCACCTAAAAGAATATTTTAGGAGGCCTGATGAATTACATAATATTTTAAGATGCTAAATCACATAAAAAAAAATACTTTAAGGTGTTAGATACAGGTTAGTCTTATTTATCCACTAACAAAGTCTTATATCAATAATGTATTTTGAATCCATGATCTTGTGAATTTTGGACTAACCAAAATAACAGAGAAAAGAGAGCTAGAAAAGAAAATAAGGAAAGAAATATATTTTTCTTCATTTGAATAAGGGAGGAAAAATGAAAAGAAAAAAAAGTAGGACCCACATCCCATTTTTTCTCTAAGTTTTCTCTCCACATATGGAGAGAAAATGAAAAGAAAAATCACACTCCCCCTTTGGCCCTCCTTAGCACGAATGTGAGAAATTTTTTTTGAAAGAACTAATATGCTAGTCCTTATAGTTTTACTATACTTTGAATTAGGTCCTTATAGTTTTTTTTAATTTTTTACGCAATCCTTATAATTAGCTCCATTAGCCTTTTTAGTCCTTCTGTCTGTGAGGGCCGTTAATTTAAGTTACTGAGGGTGTGGCGCTGCCTAGGCTAACCCAACTCCTTTATCAAGTGTAAACCAGCCGAGCAAGAATTATGCAAAAACTATCCAACACAACCAGAATAAGAAACCATCCACAATATTAGCTATCCTGAAGATGATGCTCTAATTTACCCACCAACTTCAACCCAGCTATTTTGACACAGACACCCTCAAAACGCGGCCATGTTTAGATCTAATAGCTATCATAGAAACTTTGCCCGCTATTCTCATCAATCTAGTATGTTACATATGTAGTGTGTTTCGTTGGCTCTCCCAATAACTTGACACGCAGACTCCTTATACAAATTGAAATGATAAGGAACCCAACTGTTGTTGTATCTGATGTTTAATATTGTAAGGGAAAAGGAAGAACACGTAGTTATAATTATCACATCAAGTTAACCAAATTCAAATGGAAATATGCCTTATCCTATTAGAGCTTAGTATGAGCTATTACAAACAAACAACCATTTTCAAGCATGTCAGTCCAAAAACAAAAGTATAGAGATATGGCCAATATTATTAACCAGAGACTTTGCATGATGAAGAACCTTGTCGGTTAGGTATCTCTCTGCCTTGGAACCTGCCTCCTGGTTAGTGAAACACCTTTTCGGTATCAACCTAGGGTTGCAGAGTGTGAAACCTATCACCACAAGCTACACGCTTAATCAGGAAACTCTTGGAGAGTACGATTCTAACAATAGTGGACGAAGAGACAATAAAGAGATGACAAATTGACAATCACGAGCCGAGTTGCAAGCATATGTGTTTCAAAACACCTGTGTTGCGGTTCGGGGGGAAAAACAGAGCATCATCATCGGCATAGCTATGGTCTATAGTGGGTTTTAGATTAACTAGGTTATGCTTGGTAAGGAAGAGGATTAGCCTCGTCAACGCCACATCACCCTTGTCAACTTAAGTTAGCAGTCCTTATAGACGAAAGGACCACTACGGCTAATAGAGCAAACTATAAGGATTGCATAAAAAATAAAAAAACTATGAAGATCTAATTCAAAATATGGTGAAATCATAAGGACTAGCAGATTAGTTTTCCCCTTCTTTTTTAATTTTCAAACCTAATTTTGTAGCATCGTCTTCTAGCATGAACATTTTCCCACCTTTATTATATAACATGACATGAGCGGCAATTTTATCATCGGTTTTTATGTAAATTTTTTTATATAATTTTTTTATTTCCTTTTATTATAAAATGCAAGTGTTGAACTACACGTAAAAAATACTTTTATAATCACCGTTGGGGTTTTGCCCCTTTCTTTTCTTTCCTAGGGTTTATCCTTATGGGAGCATGTTTCTCTACGTGAGCAGGGGCATTTTTTCCGACAGCTCTCTGGTAACTCCTGTGGGAGAGGACGTTGAACAGCGTGTGTGAGTGAAGGACATGCATGTGTGAATGTTTGTGCTTATTTGAGGCCGTTGGGAATAACAATCAAGATAAAGGAGAGAGTATCTTGTGATACGTGCTATGGATATGGATCTGTGGAATTATAGAAGGAATTGTGATGGCCAAGGTGGAGCTAAGTCAATTAAAGACATATCCCTAACAAAACAAATGTTTGAGTGACGGAGGTCAAAGGAACCATGGATTATAGTGCAGAAATTGATAAGCGGTGAGAATGATCTGACTAGGTCTGTGCTGATAGAAGAAAATTTTCATAGCAACCTTTGCTATAATAACATCAATATCAAAGCTCTATTTTTTTGATTTGATGATACTAAGCGATGTAAGGTTTGGTCGAATCTACCTCTCTCGCTAATATGTTTAATAACTCTAGGAATGTGCTATTATGTTGATGAAGATTCCCAAAATCTAAGGATCCTAAGGTAAGATAATTTTTGCTTTGTCCAACTCTATTTGTGGAATATTTGGATCAATTTGATACACTGGATTTGGTTGGAGAGAGCTTTTGTAATGTATGTTAACTGTCCTTTACGTGGAAAAATAATGGAAAGAAAGGAGGTTCAGAAGAGAATGAATTTGGCATGGTTAGAGATTCTTCAATTGATTGTTATACCTCTATCCGAAAGTCTAATATGGCCTTTTTGTGCTGATTATGACGATGGTTTATGGCTCAATTTTTGTTCTTTTACCAGCAACAATGAATCTTTATGGAATTAGTGACTTCTTCGTATTATGATACTCTTTATTTAGTTGAGTTTGCAGAGATGAATATTGTTGTGAATACTTTGTTCTCTCTTATTATTTAGAAGGGAAGATTGTTTGCAAACTCTGGTCAAGTTGTTTTAAAGAAGCAGGATGATTTGAGATGGGTTCCACCTAAAGAATGGGATTATTAGAGAAGTTTTATGTTTAGTTGTTGGTGCTCTTAGGCAAAATGATGCAGAGTCCAGATTTCTTATGCTCCTTATCCTGGAGGTCCATTTTGGCTTCAGCACCACTCTTCCTCTCTTAGTTCAAAGGAGTGGTTTAAAGCTGCCATTGTGGACGCAGCATTGGCACTAGAGAAGTTGGGCTCAATTGTTAAGTTTTTGAGACTACCACCTTCTATAACTGTTCTTGTTTGTTGAAGTATTGGGATTTGGCTTGCATTGTTCAGCTGAAGAGTGTTCCTTTGTGCTTGTATTTTGTTCTCGTTTTTGTTTTTAGTTTCTATATTTTGTTGGTTTTCATACTAGTTATACTTTTTGTGTGTTGTACTTTGGTGTTTTGTAGACTGTTACTTTGAAATGATATGAGCACAAATATTTATGGCAAAAAATTTAACTTTAAAAAATATCCGCTTTTTAATTTTTAGGTTAAAGAAATAACAATTTTACAAAATTATTTTATTTTAAAATATATTAACATTATAATATATCTTTACCAAATAATTTGATGATATTAATACAAATGTGATTTTTTCATTGCGATATTTGATTTGGTTTTAAACATGATAAATTTTGATATACGAATAGGTATATTCTAGTCATTTTGATATTTAATATTTTATTACATATCACATTAAATTTTAATGCTCTGGAACTATCAACTTTAAAAACAAAGGTTTTTTATTTCCTAAAAATTAAATTCCAAATTAGATCAAAATCAACAATTTAAGAGTTGTGAACCTAATATTCATCCCCAAACAAAGCACCAGAATTTATTTTCACTGTCGAATAAAGGGCGATTTCAATTTCGTCACGAGTTACGTGTATAAATATAATTATTTGCACAAACATTTTAATTTTGCTTGTATATTATTTTATCTCATTGATAAATATGGAAATGGATTTCTTTGCATTAACTATTGATTTGAAATTACACATAATGAAACTTTACTGCTTTTGAAGGTAGTGAGAATGATCAAAGATTTATTAAAGAAGAAACGTTGAAGTTTCAGGTACTGCCAGAAGAGGTAACCTTATAGGATACATACACTCCTATAGCTGCAATCACTAAAATTGCAGCACCCATATTTATAAGCATTGGCTTCTCTTCTTCCTTCCATTTTCCTTCTGAAATTTTTGTCACAACCTCTGAAGTTGAAGATGACACTTGTCTTATTCCTTTCCCTATTGTGCCAACTCTATCTTCTTTTGTAGGCAAAGTTTCATTTTCTTTTTTTGTTATTTCTGCAGTCTTTTGTCTTGTCTTTATTTCCTTTTCTTTTAATATTTTCTCGGGCTTTCCTAGTAATTTTCCTTCTTCTTCCTTATTAGTTCCTCTTTCTTTCTCAATTTCTTCAGCACCCTTTTCAAACCTTTCATCTTCGCGCTTTTTTGGAGCAAACTTTAATGTGGGTCTTTGCTCTATTTCAAACGGGCCAACCGGAGGCGTTTTATCAATGAGCTTTCTCTGAGACTTTATCATTGTGGGGATGGGTTCAGTTTCATCTTGGCCTTTAAGCTTAGACTCCTTGGTAGGATCTGGAGGCATAAGAGCTTTTAATCCTTTTTTGTCGTCTTCCATTTTTTTAAAATCTTCTTTCCCTCTACGAATTCTGAATTTAAAAGGAATTTCCTCATCATGGGTTCCTCCAGCTGTTTTTTCTTCCGATTTACCTTGTGTAAATCCTTGAGGACTCCAATAGGTCTTTTCAGGCGCTGGGCCTTCCAATACAGGGGTATATTTATGAGGGCTTCCCTCTTGCGCCTCCTTGGTCCTAGGCTCTTGGGTTGTTTTGCGGGTCTCAGGCCTTAGGTCTTCAACCTGAGTAGGTCCATACTTTTGTTGGATTTTTTCATGGACTTTTTCAGGTTTTGAATCAATAACTGTAGGATCTGTGGGCTTTTCCTGGGTCTTTCCATTAGGCCTAGGCACTTGTTTCTTTGAGGGAAATCGGCTTTTTTGTTGGGCTTCCGTTCTGGGAGAATGTTGGGAAAGAATCTTCTTTGCCATTGTAATGATGAGAACTCCCTCACTAAGGTTGGCCTTGAGCTTGCCTTCATCGCAGTTCCGTGGAATAGGATATGATTGATCAAAATGGATCCACCTATTATTGTCACTATCAATTGGCCTCTTTCCAGAAACATTCAACATCCTTGTATAGGTCATAAATGTAATCTTTATTTGATCCCTTGTAAAGCCTGCAATTACCAAAAAATCCCCATGTATATATGAATATATGCGTATATATGAATAGCTACAACATGGTAATTTTGGCAAAAAAAAAAAAAAAAGAATACCTACATGGAAATAACAAAAATAATAAGCCTTTTTTTCACTACCATATTAATAAACTTTTTGCTATATATTCTGATAGTTAATGGGAAAAGTTATTCCTCATTTACGTTGTGGATTTTCTCCTTGTCACATTCGAAATGTTTTGAAAGCATATAAAACATTATTTTATTTAGTTATTTATAAAAGCATATGTCAATCTCCTAAAATACCCTCTTTGTATTTAAATTACTCCTTGATGGAAATTCTTAATATGTGCAATTAAGGATAGTTTAAAAAATTATAATTTTGAAAGACAAAATAGATTGGAGACATATACTCAGGATTAAAATAAAACCTCCTAACTATTTCCTATATTTAGGATAAGAGAAAGTATTAATTAATACTCCCTCTGGTCCTTATTATAAGTTTCAAATAACTAATTCATAAGTAATAAACATATAGTTAAAATTAGTTAAAAATAATAAATATGTTAGAAAAATATTTTTGTTTTCAAATACGCCCTTATAATAATAAAAAAAAAGATGAAAGAGAATATGTGAGAAAATATGGTAAGAAAGAAATCATTAAGGGCAACATTTAAAAAAAAAACACATTAAATATTAAGACAAACACAAATTGAAGTTTATAAAATCGACTATATCTCCTCTCTAATTTGAAGCTTATAAATAGGACCAGAAATAGTACACAAGACCACATGTACATTTCATGCTTGTCATCAATATCATGCATCCATACTTGGACAATCAAGATCATGCTTAATTTTATATATATATATATATATATCTATGTATATGAGATAAATTTTTTCATTTTAATATATGTATAATCTAAAATAAATATAATTTTATAATTATACCTATGTGAAAAAGTAAATTTTATTTAAAAATTGTAAATTAAAAGCTCTAAATCTAGATCATTTAAACTGCATTTGGTTTTTGGACAAACATGTTGCTCATGGCTACCATGAGAGGAATAAGAACCCTTTATATTTTGGGAAATATCCGCTTTAGACGTATCAATAACACCACACAGACACAAATTATACACACACACACACACACACACACATGACGTACCTGGAAGAAGGATGCGCAGAGAGTGAACTTCGTTATTCTCAGATAACTCAGTGCTGGGCTCGAAGTAGTCATGCACAGGACCAACAGAACTTGATGTTCTTGTCTTCGTAGCCATATATGCTTAGAGTTTTTGTTCTCTTATTATGGAACAGAACGAAAGTGTTTTTCTGAATATGTTGCTTTGTGGGTTACGACATTTCCGTATGTATATATATGTGCTTTGAGACATAATAGGGTTTCTTGAATACGAGACAATTCCTTTTTTGTTTGCTTTGGTTTTGTCAATGGAAATGGCTTGAAATTTTCCCTTACTGGGTACAATATGTGAGGCATAACTTCTTCGGCAAATAAAGTCCTTGTTCTTTGTCTTCCCCCATTCATACATTTATCCTTTGCGAACTACGCAATCAATTTATATAATATGTATGTGAGATATATTTACACACGTTTATGTTAAAAGTAAAATATAAATTATACGGGCTTCAGTTAATGTTTTTTTAAAGTTACATGCATTTTTTTTAATTTAATCCGTCGATATTTGGGGTAATAGCAATCAACTAATTTGGTTTGCGAGAATGCAGGCCCACAATGGGGGAAACCTCGCTAGCTACCATCAAACAATTATCGTGGCTGCATATTCAAGGCTCAAATACGGGACCACTAGTTAAGGTTGGCTTGCAAAAATGGATAACCATCCTTTTTATTTTCAAGGTTTGGTTTTGAAATAACATGTACACCCTTGTAAAATCAATAAAAGTTGAGGATGTAATTTTAATGCAATTCAATAGAAAAGTGCATTTTCGTTGGAAAAAAAATAAATAAGAGGCGTATGTGCTGAGTGAAAAAGAAAAGCTGGTGATAATGATGTTTAAGGGCTGTACTATTTTGCATGTATTATATCATGTGACATACAATTATAAATCTATTATAGAATCAAAATTTAGTACTCTTCCTGTCCTTAATATAGGACCTAATTGTTGAGTTGGTTTTGGTTCTAAATATAAGACCTATTTCTCATATTTATCAATTTTTTCTAAATTACCTCTACGGATACTCTTTCAACCATAATCAAGTAGAAAAGGAAGATGAGGTATTAAGAAAAATGATTATGGTATTTTAGGAAAAATGTGTCACATTTCATATAATTAACTAACTTACCTAACTTTCTTAATCTAATCAAATTAGTTAAATAAGTCTTATATTAAGGACCGGAGGAGTATATTATTTTGGGAGAATCTCAAAAGAATATCTTTGAATTTTAAAATTTCAAATTAATATTATTCGCTACATTTCTTTAATAATAATTGATAATATTTGAAAACACATGATAACACATTTTTATAGTCTTTTTTTATTTGGGATTTTAAAATTTCAGAGGTATTTTTTGAGATTTTTTTAACATTATTTTCCCTTTAATATTAAAAGAATTCAGACAGCCTTCAAAAGAAGCTTTACTGCCCACTTTAGTTTGCCATAAAGCTGATAAAGATTTCTCTCCGGTGTATCCAAAAAAAAAAGGCCGACAAAGATACTATGGTAAGGGGCTATGGTGTGAAATCACAATCTTCCAATGCCTTTTAGAAGGTAAATCTTCTCTTTAAGTCATAAAGTGTGATCCTTTGAGTCCTAACATTATAGAGAATCATTAATTATTTATGCTTTCTTAATTAGTCAATTCATTCATCATTAGCCTCTCATACAATGGATAATAAAATGGATCCCCCAAAATCAATTTTTCAATCAAAACGAATAAAAAATATGTATGTAAAGTAAACATGAACCTTTAAATTTAAATACGCACTAAGCATACCCATCCTCTTGTCATCCTTTCCCTCATTTTCTTCTTCTAGTCCTATCCCAATCATTCAATAAAAAATAAATGATTGAAATTCAATATCTTATAATTAAAATTATGATTATAAATTAGAAAAAAGATATTTCTAAACACCGATAATCTTTCGGTGCTCTTGTTGGCGGAATTTCTCAAGATCAAGGATCTTGGACAGCAATATGTGGAAGAAGAAGATCTTCTTCATCGTTGTAAAAAGAAATTCAAGAGCAATGAGCTGCAGGGCATTAATGAAGGTGGATCGCAGTGTTCTTTTGAGGGGAGGTGAGGGGAGGGGAGGATGTGTTTGGTTGGGAGGAGGGGAGGGGAGGGGAGCTAAAAAAATTTGTCTTTTGTGCTCCCCTCCCCCCCCCCCCCCCCCCCCTCCCCTCCCAAATTGGAGGTTTTTGGAAGGGAGAGAAATATTATGAGAATTTGAACAAATATGTCCATACTATTTTTTGAATATTCCAGTGGTGCCCTCTTATTATTTTTTTGGTTTCGCATGATTACCTTCGCATTCCCTTTCGCGGTCGCTCAGTTATATACACACACACACAAATATAATATACATATATGTTAATATATTAATTAATTATATATATTAATATATATTATAATTATAAAATGATACTATTAATATCATATATATTTTTTATTTCCTAATATGTGGAGGGTATTATTATATAGTTAAGGTCTTGTCTTTTTTTCTCCCATTCACTTTTCTCACATATATTATACTTTTATTTCATAATTTTTTTATCACATATAAGTGAGGTAATTGGTTTTTTTGAAATTGATAAATTAGGAAATAATAATTTTGATATAAATATTATAATAAAAGAATAAACCAGTCTAAATATAAAGATAAGGGCATATTTGTCAATTTATAATCCTCTCCCTTTCCCTCCCCTTGTGAACCAAACAAGAAATCTCCCCTCCCCTCCCCTCCCCTCCAACCAAACAAAACCCATGACCTCCCCTCCCCGTCCCTCCCCTCCCTTAATTAACCTCCCCTCCCCTCCTCTCCATTGAACCAAACAAAGCCTTAGTGAAAAGCTTAGCGGCGGGCATCACAGGGGCGATTTGAGGCGGAATGCTGAGATGGAGGCAAATGACTTGGATTTTGGCTCGGTGAAATCCCATATTTAGATTCTAAAGCATCAAAAGGGTAGGTTCTCTATCCCTAAATTTGTTTTGTCTGAGAAAGCCCTGCATAAAATTAGAAAACCTTTTAATCTGAGTCTAATAGTCAAAGTATTGGGGAAGAAATTGGGTATCATCCGTATGGAGCAAATAATCTACAAAATGTGGGCAAGAATAGGTGTAATTATAGTGGTGGATTTATCTAGCGATTTCTTTGTGATTACCTTTTCTGCGGTTGAGGATTATGAATTGGCTCTTTTAGGGAGCCTATGGATGATTATGGACAGCTATCTAACTGTGAACGAATAGAGATCGGATTTTGATCCTAAAGTGGAAGCTATTGAAGATGTGCTAGTTCGGGTTAGGTTGCCTAACCTCCCCCTAAAGTATTATGATGAGAATATTTTGGAAGCAATTGATAATGAGATTGGCAAGACTGTTAAAGTAGATATGACCACTTCTTTACAATCTAGAGGTGGGTATGTAAGAGTAGGAGTGCAAGTTGATCTAAGAAAGCCTTTAATATCGGTGCATGTTATAGGAGGAAGAGAGAGGTCTATAGCTTATGAAGGACTTCATTTATTGTGTTTCTATTATGGGCTATATGGGCACACTGAACGAAAATGTAAGGAGAAGAATTGTAGGGTTGAGGGGATTGGAGATCATGAACAAGGTGGTGAGACAAGAAGTGAGGAGTTAATGCTTGGTGAATGCTCAAAAGTTCAGAAGGGGAGAGGAGCTAGACGTTTCTTCCAAGGGGCAAAAAAAAGACACTTAAATGTTACGTCTAATAACAAGGCTCTCATTTTGCTGGTTTGGGAGACTTGGACAAACAAGGGACTCCTGTTGGAGTTGAAAAGAGGGTTGAGAAGGGTGTTTTAGATGCAATTCCAGAAAAACTTGGTATAAAAAGAAGAAGAATGGTGGCGCTTCTGTAGAAGAGCTTAATGGGGTTGCTAAGAATGCGGCTGTGGCAGTGCAAGTGCCTAAGAATGCCTCCCAAACTCAATAAGTTCTATCTTCTGCTTTCAGAAACAAGTTTGGTAGTTTGGGTGGTAAGATGAAGGGGATTTGATGGTAGTTGTTTTAGATAGGAAGAATAAAAGGGAGTTTTGTGATGGGTTGAAAGAGTTAGATGTGAATGTTGTTAGGGAGACACCTGAGGTGGCTAAAGGACTTATGTTAATGAAGGAAGGGGTGTCGGGTAGACCCCTTAATCTAGCCCTTTCTGGTCTTTTGAAGGTAGGGAATAATGACGGAATAGAGGATGAGAAGCAGTAGTGGTGTGAGGCTGTTATGATCATTGACTAAAGATGTTTTGGGGGTTTTGCTCACTCTTCTTTTCTGTTATGATGAATTGTGACTACAAAATATTAGCTTGGAATTGTAGAGGGGTTGGAAGTAAGGTGTTTGAATGATGTTTGAAGTCTTTGATTCAGGATAGGAAACCAGCCTTTGTCGGTCTCTTGGAAATGAGAATTGATCATAGGAGAGCAGGGGAGCTTTTTAAAAAGCTTGGATACCAAAATTGGATTGCAATTCTAGGTATGGGGTTTTGGGCTATTCTGGGTGGCTTGGAACAATGATTGGATAAATATTTCTATGGTAAAAGAAAATGCTCAATATGTTCATTTGAAAGTAGAAGGAGAAGTTGCTTGGATTCTTACCATAGACTATGGATTCTTACCATAGACTGTGTAAATCCTCATAAAAGAGGAAATAAGATGTTTTTGGAGGAAATGGAGGGCTTCGCAGGTCACAACTCGTTGCCTTGGGTTTTGATAGGGGATTTGAATGATAAAAGATAGAGTAGTGAAAAGAAGGGAGGGGCACCAGTGAATGAAAAAAGATGCAATTTTTTTGATGAAAGAGTCAATAAGTGTAATGTGATGGAGATAGGGGCCTGGGACAATCGCTTTACATACAAAGGGCCTTCGATTCTTGGGTATGAAAGAGTTTTTGAAAGATTGGATAGTGGTCTTTGTAATAGTGAGTAGCGATACTTGTTCCCAAATGCAGTGATTAAGAATCTAGTGAGATTGGGGTATTCTGACCACTGTCCTCTATTATTGTGCATGAATGAAGATAGCAGACTTAGAGGAGTTCATCCTTTCAGATTTGAGACTGCTTGGATGGCTCACAATTCTTTTAAAGAAGTGATAAGGGAGAACTGGATCTGTGGAGGGAGTTTGAGAGGGAGCCTTTTAGACCTTAAGGGTTATCTTCTACAGTGGAATCGTGAGATTTTCCTCAATGTTCGCATGAAAAAGAGCCAACTCTTGGCTAGATTGGATAGTATCCAAAAAAAGATGAGCAATTTCAGTAGGCTGATTTCTACTTTTTTAAAGCTTGGGGAGACATTATAAAGGAAGTTAGAAGAAGTACTTAAGCAAGAGGAAATCTTATGGTTTCAAAAGTCAAGAGGGGAATAGACTAATGATGGCGATCGAAATACTAAGTTCTATCATGTTAGAACTATTTCTAGAAGAAGAAGGAATAAGGTGGTAATGCTGAAAAATGAGGAAGGGGTTTGGGTTAAAGATTAATTTGAACTCAGTCGTATAGCCTATGATTTTTATTACAATCTCTTTTCTGAAGAGTTGGTGCCTCAACATCAATTTGCTTTTTTAGAGGATTCTTTTCCATCTCTTTTGTAGGAAGACTTAATGAGTATGAATAGAGGCTTTTTGGATGAGGAGATTAGGGAGCAATTTTTTCTATTGGAGCCTTCAAAGCGTCGAGTGAGGATGGCTTTCCAACTATCTTTTTTCAACGAGAATGGGATGTTGTAGGGAATGATCTGTGTAGATATGTGCAGAGTTTGTGGAAGGGTAAGGGTAATGTTGAGGAAGTGAATGCAACTCTTCTATTTCTGAGTCCTAAAGTTCATAGGCTTGAATCCTTGAAACAAATGCGCCCTATTGGGCTTTGCAATGTATCATATAAGTGCATTACCAAGATTGTTGTGAATAGAATGAAATGGTGGCTGAATAAGGTGGTGGCCCTTAACCAAGTTAGTTTTGTTCCTGCTAGACATATCCAAGATAATATTATGAGGCAACTAAAAGGTAAATTGGGATACTTTGCGCTAAAGATTGATTTGGAAAAAACCTATGATAGGCTTAGATGGAGTTTGATAGATGATATCCTTAAGGAGCTAAGAATTGAAGATGAGTTTGGGGGCTTATTACGCATTGCGTTACTTTGGTTAGTATGCAAGTTTTGTGGAATGGGGAGAAATCTAAGACTTTGAAACCTTCTAGGGGGATTTGACAAAGAGATCCTTTGTCTCCCCATATTTTTGTTTTGGCCGTGGAAAACGTAACACACATTATTCAAGAAGCAAAAGAGAAAGGGAGCTGGAGGGGCTTTTAAAGTTGGAGAGGAGGGCACAAGTGTCTTCCATCTAATGTCTGTTGATGATTTGATTTTATTTGGAGTTGCTATAGAAGATCAAATAAAAGTTACAATAGACTGTTTGAATTATTTCTGCTTGCCATCGGGCCAGAAAGTTAATGCTAACAAGTCTATCATCTTTTTTTTTCTAGGAATGTACATACAGAGATAGCTAGTTGGGTTATTGGGTCTTACAGAAACTCCTGACCCAGGAAAATATTTAGGTATTCCTTTGTTTTATAAGAAAGGGAAGTTGAACAGCTTTAACTTTGTTTTAGAAAAGGTGAGGAAAAGATTAACATATTGGAAAACTAATCATCTAAGTATGGCGGGTAGAATTGCTCTTGCAAAGTCAGTCATAGGCTCTATTCCTATTTACCCCATAATGGTATCCCTTTTGCTGAATTCCTTACTAGAGGGAGTTGTTCAAAGAAATTTCATTTGGGGTCACTCTGAAAATGAACGAAAAAATCCACTTAGTAGGGTGGGATAAACTTTAGAAGCCTAAAACTAGTGGAGGTTTGGGGGTGTTGAATTTGCAAAGTATGAATAAGATGTGCCTTCTAAAGCTGGCTTGGGCTCTTCGTTCTGAGGAAGTAGGATTGTGGAAGGAAGTTTTACTCTATAAGTATAATGATGGCTCAAAGCTCTCTTCAATCCTACAAATTCCCAAAATGCTTCAGCTTTATCGAGAGATCTGGGGAAAATTTGAGATTTATTAAATGGTAATATTTGGAAAGGTATTGTAGATGGCAAGCATATCTCCTTTTGGTTAGAACCATGGCTTTACAAGGACATTATTATGCTTGAGTCTAGTGTTTCAAAGATTTCGGATGATATTTTGGAGTGGTCAGTGGCTGATATGGTGAATTATTCAGGAAATTGGGAATGGGAGAAGTTTTCTTGTTTAATTCAAAGGGAGAGCTTAAATAAGATAAAGGCTTTCTACCTGCCTTTTAAAGTGGGTCATGATATTTATTTGTGGAAGGGGGGAAAGGGTGTATACTCTATGAAAGGAGGTTACAGATACTTAAAAGCGAGGAATTATGGAGTGAAGGATTCTATCCGGGACTTAATATGGAAGTGGAAGGGGTCAGAAAGGATAAGGTTCTTTCTCTGGTTATTAGCTCTGGATAATTTGCACACAAATTCTCTAAGAAACAAGAGATGGGGGTAGAAGGGAATTGTAGTGTTTGTGGTGGACTTGAAACATCGGTGCATGTTATTAGGGATTACTGCATTGCTAAGGAAGTCTGGGAGGAAATTTTATCTCTCAATTAGATATTTGAGAATTTTTACTCAAAGCCTATCCATATTTGGGTAAAAAGAAATCTAGCTAATAGTTTGAAAGTCAAAAACATACCCTGGTGTGTGGTCTTTGGCGTGACTTGCTGGTCCTTGTAGAGGAATAGCAATGAAAGAATCTTCCGTGACAATAGGGTGCATGGTCGAACGATTACTTAGAGGATTATGCATTTTGCTTTTGAGATTGTTGAAGCAAAGGGTTTAATGTGTTGTATTGAACCTTTGAGTCCTACTATGTTTAAATCTCCATGCGAAGCTTGGTGCCCACTAGAAAAAGGGTGGGTAAAACTTCATTTAGATGGAGCTTGTAGAAGAGATCTATCTATGGCTAGTTATGGAGGCTTGTTGCGAAGTGACAAGGGTGACTGGATCTGTGGTTTTTCTCAAAAATTAGGGAGCTGTGGGATGTTTGAAGCGGAGTGTTGGGGTATTGTGAAAGGGTTGGAGTTGGCTTGGGCAAGGGATTGCCACCCGCTAATCTTGGAGACTGATTCGAAAATTTTGGTCAAGGAGTTGAGGGGAAAGTCGAAAGTCTTAAGCTTTATTCCTATTGTCCAGCGGCGCATCTTGACTTTGCCGGAAAGAGAGTAGAGCATCCAAATTTGTAAAGTAAATACAAGGAACAAAAAACCGGACCGGGAGCTAAACCGGTCGAGGCAGTGGGTCAAGGGTCACTGGTCGGACCGGAGGTCTGACCGGGGTCGGACCGGTCATATTAAAATAATATAATTTAATTCACAATATTAAAATAGAACTGAATTCATAAATAACAATCACTCAAAAAAAAGATAGAAAGTTACAAAAGTAGTTTAAAGGTTTAATTGTACCAAGCAAATATTAATAAAATTCACATCTTCATCACTATACAAAATCAAAATCATCATTAAGATCATTGGTAGGAGCATGGACTGAGATATCATCAGTTGGGCGAGGAAAAGTAGGAGTAACAGTATCATCGTGCAAAGGTGGAGGATCAGCAATGTCCATATCTTCATCACCTATATAAGACAATAATCAATATTAATGATTATGTAAATAGTTATATATTCATCTAAGAATACTAATAGAATCTTAATTATATATATATACACACCTTCATTATCCCTCTCAAAAGTTGTTGAATTTGCAGTGCCTTCATTGTTAAGAACACTTTCAATTGTAGCCACATCTCTATCATCAAACTCAGGGGTGGGATCTTCTTCAGTCACCCAAAAGTCCACCATGTCAATATCTTCAAAGTCAATTGGATCATAATTTTTCTTCTTCTTCAATGTATTCCTTCAATGACAAATAAAAATTCAATTAAATATAAATCAATTAAAATAGAAGATTAAAAGCATTTAGTATTTCTAAGAGTACCTATGCTTCAATCGCAGATTATAGTTTGTGAAAACCAAATCATTCAGCCTGCTATGTTCCAATCTGTTTCTTCTTTTTGTATGAATTCTCTCAAACAAGCTTCAATTCCTCTCACAACTAGAAGAAGCAAAAGTTTGACTAAGAATATGCATTGCAGCGCGCTGTAATTCTGGAACTGAACAACCATAATATGTCCACCACTCATCTGCATAATAAAATACATTTAGCATACAATATTATAAAGAACTAGTGAATAACTATAAAAATACTATAAAGTATTAACACTTACAAGGGTCTAATTTTTGTGCAGCTTTTTGACATGAGGGTCTACTGAAAGATTCTTTGCCTTCACGGTAAGTGGTTTCTTGTTTCATCACCAGAAAGCCATCAACATCTTCATCTGAATAAGACTCCACCACATCAATCAAAGCCATCATTAATTTTGACTTGCTAGGACAGTCTGGACCATATGTGATTGCAGGGTTTAACAAGTATGATGCTGCATGAAGATTGGTTTTCAAATGCCTGTCCCATCGAGCTTGGATAATTCTTGTATAAGGCTTATACATCTCCTTGTTCTTCTTAAACATCTCCTTAATTGCCATTTTTGCTCTTCGCATGCCTTCATAAACATAAGGCAATGAAGGTTTTTCATCTGAATCCACAATTCATAATAATTTTATCAAAGGAGATACAATCTTTACAACTTCATAACAGTCATTCCAAAACCGGTTATCTAATATGATTGCACTAAAAATTTTTCCTGCTTCGGTCTTGGATAATTTGTGGTCCACAAAATGCTTATCAACAACCAAAGCTTGCAAGTCATTTTTGTGCATATATATGCTATGCAATGTAATAAATGTAGTAGCAAATCTTGTGGCACCAGGACGCACAATTTCTTTCCAACTCGGTCTTTTTCTCAGCCAGGATAAGAAAACCATATGATTGTATGCAAAGATGGTTATTCTTGATGCCTTTGATGCAAGGTCCGACACATGAGGCATGCTGGAAAAGTCTTTCAATACAAGATTCAAACAATGAGCAGCACAAGGAGACCAATAAATGCTTTTATACTTTTCCTTAATCAGTTTGCCACATGCTACATAGTTGGCTACATTGTCAGTCACTACATGAACAATATTCTTAGGACCAATCCACTCAATGACTTCACAGAATAGTGTAAATAAAGTTTTAGCATCTTTGACTAGATCTAATGCATCAACAGATTTCACAAATACCATACCGTGTGTAGAATACACTAAGAAATTTATCAAAGTGCATTGTCTAACATCGGTCCATCCATCAGCCATGAGTGTGCAGCCATTGTTTTTCCATTTAGCTCGATGACAATCAATCAGCAACTGACATTCTTTTTTCCAATCACCCAATAAATTGGTTTTGAAATCATAAGCACTAGGGGCTTTAAACCCAGGCCCAATTGAAGCAATTCCATCCACAGCTTTTTGAAATAAAGGGCAATCAAATGCTTTAAACGGAATACAGTTCACAATAGCCCATTCAGCAATCAACATTTTCACATTATGTTTTGCTTCTTTAGTTGCTAATGCACTTTTAACACCCGGTTGGGAATCAGGGGTTGTCCTAGGAGCAAAATAATTGTCCATACTCCCACTAGCTTTCCTCTTCTTCGAAGTACTCATGATAATTTGTGGATCAACATGGGTTTCTTCAACATCCTCTTCTAAGTTTTCAACTTTTGAAGATTCTTTCAAAGATTCAGACATTCTATGGCGTACATCATGTGGAACTTTCTTACAAGAAGCTATTTGACCAGTGATACCAGCAAGATGTTGCTTCATCCTATTTATCCCACCTCCTCTATAACTATTAGCACAGAAAAGACAAGTATATATATTCTGTGTCCCCTCTTTTTTGTATGCAATATGTGCCCATGCAGGATCAGTTTTGGTACGTAATGAAGAAGTGGGTGTAGGAGTGGAAGTTTCAGTATTAGGAGTGGAAGATCCCGTATTAGGAGTCACATTGTCACTTCTTGAACTTGGATTACTTGAAATATCCATCACTGTTACTAAATAACAAATTAAAAAAATCAAACATCTAGGGGTTCATTGCTATGGGATTAGCTCGGATAATATAACATCACTGATTAAAAATCAAAGATCAAATTGATAAATTCAGATTTCATATGAAATATGCACTTTAAGTACTTGGATCTAATATTCAAACACCATTTGCATAAATTTTCAGGTTACGACTTACGGGCATCATGCCAATATTCAAATGTGCTGACTAGATATCATCATGCCAAAATTCAGTATGATCAAATTTTAGTTAACGAATCCTCTCACATGTGCTGACCAGATATCATCATTCAAATAATCAAATGATGTTCCAAGTAAACGAATCATTGAATCAATCAGTATGCTGTATGACCGAAGAACGCATATCATCATTCAAACGAATCAAATGATCTTTCCCGGATCTTATATCTATATCATACACGATATTGTTCTACATTAGAAAAAGGAAACAAATCTCATTTTATCTAAGCCTAGCTACTTGAGAATTCAGATGAAAAAAAAAACCGAAGAATGCACAAAACATGAGCAGTGACCGTAAGAGCAGGGCACGCTGATGATTTAATATCTAAGCCTAACTGAATGAAATTTACCAACAGGACAACAAGAGGCAAGAGCATAGAAGCGACCACCTGCAGCTCTGACGATGATTCTGCGACCGGGAAGAAGCAACGATGATGGGAGGCGACCACCTGCGGCTGCGATGCAGATTTGAGCTTGAACCACGATCACCGGCTGCTTCAACGTTCAACCTCGACGACGTGACGCGACGATCTGAGACCTCCGATGGCTAGAAAACTCCGGCACAATGAGGTTGATTCAGCTAGGGATTTTCGATTTAGGGGAGGGTGGCGATGGCGACTCGGCGAGAGAAACTGAAGCAGGGGCGAGCGAGGTCGTTCGATTTGGACCGGACCGTCTTTGTTTTTTTTTGGTTTGTAAATTTCACTGCTAAACGACGCCGTTTCCATGGATTGGGGATTAAAAAAAATAAAATATTCAAAACCGGACAACCCATCAAACTGGCGGGTTGCCCGGTTTGATCCGGTTAGTACCGGTTCAACTGCGGGCCGGTTTTTTTGGCCTCCCAGATTTTCCGGTCGAACCAGCTGGTCCGGTCCGGTTTTTTTTACCTTGAGTAAATAGAGAGGCCAACTTTGTGCGGACGTGTTGGCAAAAATGGGTTTTGGTCTAGAAGGAGATGGTAGAGTTTGAGATGTCTTGTCTCTAGATCTGAAGCAATATTTTGATAAAGATAAGGAGAATATTCATGTCAGAGAACAGGAGTTGCTGAGTTTTGACGAGCAAGCTTCAAGTTTTCAGCCACCTGATTTGTTGCTACGTTTTTTTTGGGCTCATGTTTACAAGCTAAGCATGGGCTCTTGTTAATTCGTGGGCGCTAGGCCTCTTCTCTTACACAAAAAAAGAAGATAAAAGATAAATAAATAAATTTAAAATATTAAAATTTGATGTGGATAATTTACTGCAGCTAACTAGTGTTTTAAATTGAAGTCGGGTCCGACATCAAATTGAAAAAGCTAACTGTTCTTTTGATCTAACCAATTAGATTCACAGTTGGACTAGCGACATAATAATTAAATAAAAATAATTATAAGCATTATAGAATACATATATGTATAGAATAAATCTATAATACTCTTCCGGTCCTAAATATAAAATCTATTTTGTAGTGTAATTTATACTACAAAATGTGTCTTATATTTAGGACCGAAGTAGTCAGTCTAATTGTTAATGTAATAACACCACAATTTATAGATATTTTAGGTGAACAATATCACATAAAGGAAAATCCTACAATAATAAGAACTTGGAATTAATAAATTCCAAATCAGATTTGTTTCCTAGATTTTAATAGCTTTTGACTACACTTAACTTGTAAATAATAACATATTTTTATAGGAGTTCATGATTAGAGAATTAGTAGCTTTTAGGTTTTTTTTCATGGGATATTTTCACCATATAACTTCAAATGATCTAAAAATATATTAGGCCTTTTGAGGGGTCATTTTTTATGGTGTTTCTTTAAATTTTTGGTCCGTAAAACCATTCCAATTCTCAGTCTAATTTTGGGTTCCCACTCAATGGTAGCTCAACTCAAATCCAACTAGGGGTGTTCACGGGACAGGACAGGATTAGAACAACCCCTCCTGATGAATAAGGACAGGACAGGCTTTTCGTCCTATTTGTCGTCTTAACTTGAAGGTACCCTGGTTCCAATAAGGATGGACAGGACTGGGACTTACAGCCCAATTTTTTTCTTTTTTTTGGTGAAATTTTTTTTAAAAAAACTGAATCTCCAATTTTGCAATCATTCATAGTCACCCTTAAATCTTTACACAACAAAATTTCAAGATAATATTGTAATAATAAGAGTGCATAATATTCCCAATTTCTCATTGCATCATACATCCGCATATGTCATTTTGTAGGAAAATGGGCCAGTCCACCCTTGGTGGATTGGACCCAAGCCCAATTACAATTTGGGGTTTTGAAGCAAATAACAAAACATTTGGGTCGAAAATTGCAATTTGCTCCTTTTTAGTTCAAAACGGTTAAATAACCGTGGAGGCAAAATTCAAGAACAGAGACGGTTTTTTGTCTTCGGTTTCAACCGTCCGAGTACCCTTTTTAGTGAGTCATGGGTATGGCATTCGTGTGGTGGTTTTCGTTTTTGTCTCCACACTTTGCTCTCCATTCTTCCCTTCCCTCTACTCCAGTGTATTTGCTGTGTCTCCCAAATCCGACTCCGTCACCGTGATCGGACCTCCGCGTGGCAACCTGATTACACCGCAGACTCCAGGTATGCCCGAAATCCTTCATTGGTATCAGAGCATGTGATATTTCCTGTAGATTCTGTGGCCTGCGTTTTCATATCAGTATTTTTTTTCTGATTGTTCGGTCTGAGTAACTTGCGATTTGCTTCAATATATTATGCAAATCCTCCATTTTACTTCCAATATGATAGTTTTCGTGTCTTATATTTATGTTTAGACATATTGGGTTGCTTCTCTGCCTCTGTGAAAATCGTTCTATACAGTATATATTTTGGCCGTACGCTTGTTCGTTTTTTGGGTGTCTCGAAATGAATTTTTTGGATTCAAAATTTATCCCATTGCGTAGAGCTCGAAAAAATGAAGAAAATGATATAAAATACACTAAAAACGGACACCGGACGGCGAAGATACGGAGGAGAGAAGAAACCGGGTCCGGGTCCGTCGGACCCGACCCGGTTGCAGAAGCCGGGTCAAGACGACCCGGCTGGAGGTTGAAGGAGACCCTCCAGGGGCCAAAACGGCGTCGTTTTGGCCCCTCCTGTAAAAAAAAAAAAAGGGTATTTACTGGGCTGGACGTAGGATCCAGCCCAGACAAAAAAAAAAAAAAGGAAAGGGTGTACTGGGCTGGAGGCAGGATCCAGCCCAGACCAAAAAAAAAAAAATTGAAGAGAACCGGTTGGGCCGAAATGGACCAAACCCAACCGGCCCAAAATACTTTTAATTTAAAAAAAAAAGAAAACCGAGAATTAAAAAAAAAAAATTTTTTACCAAGCAGCGCCACGTGGCGCGTTCTGCCACGTGGGGACCACCACCTGACAGGTGGTGGCGCGTGGAGGCCGCCGGTTCGGCGCGTGTTACCGGCGGCGAAGTGCAGGGAGGCGCGTGTATTACACGCGCCGACTATGCGCGTGGGAAATTTTTTTTTTTTTCATTTTTCCTCTAATTTTTCTTCTAGGGGCGCGTGTAGGCGCGTGCGAGGTCCGTTTGAGGTGCGGTTTGTCTCTAAAAATCCCTAAAATCCTAAAAATTTGCCACGTGGGGACCACCACCTGACAGGTGGTGGCGCGTGGAGGCCGCCGGTTCGGCGCGTGTTACCGGCGGCGAAGTGCAGGGAGGTGCGTGTATTACACGCGCCGACTATGCGCGTGGGAAATTTTTTTTTTTCATTTTTCCTCTAATTTTTCTTCTAGGGGCGCGTGTAGGCGCGTGCGAGGTCCGTTTGAGGTGCGGTTTGTCTCTAAAAATCCCTAAAATCAAGATCTTCATTTTGATATATAATTTGATAATTTTGGAGATAATTAAGGATCTATTTGTGAGTATTTTCAGTGTATTTTCTGGTATTTTTCATGCGGAAATAAATTCCAGAATATTCAAAATAATTTAAATTATTTTGTTCTAGGTGAAAATGAAGTAAGAGGCTTCTAGTAGCACTGAAAATATCCAAGATGGTTCATTAGAATATTTATACATGGATAATGCAGTTCCAGAATATGAACCAGAGGATGAGGATCCTAAAGAGGACCCTGAAGAGGTTCCTCAAGAAATCCCGGAGGAGTTAATGGATTCTGGACCTGAGTCAGAATCTTTATTTCCCACTGAACCCCTCCGTACCGAACCTCATTTGGTCTGTAATGATTCACTAGATCTTCCCAATAAAACCGAAGTAGAGGAAGGCGAAGAGGTGGATCAACCCTCTACCCCTGCTTTAGCTATGAGAATAGCTGAAAGTGATGCAGCTAAATTGACAAACATAAAAGGCATCAATGGTGTGCTCGCTAGCTACGTCCATTACATGACCGATAAGAAGAATACAGAATTCTACCTTAGAGTCATAATGGAGTACATAAGAGCAATAAGAGTTAGAGGCGGGCCTAAAGGCAAACCCATAAGAAAGTCTTACTGGATTTGGGCCATAGAGCTAGTGTCCTCCTTTATGAACAAAACGCGCAAACTTAGAAGCCTAAGAAAAGCAATGCTTGATTACCTTTATGTTCATATCAAATGATGTAATATTTGTATTTACCATGAATTTGTGGTTTCATGCATTGTAAACAGACTAAGTATGTTATTTCATTTAATGAAATTACTTGAATTATTGTTGTATGATTATTTGTGAATATCATGTGTATGCCTTTTATAAGTGGGAGCTTTTAGAAGATGAGACTTCTAAAGGTTACAATCTTTGAA